GTACCCTGGGACTCAGCAGTCCTCCACCCCCACCAGCCTTGCCTGCGATGCCCTGAGTCGTAACACATTCTTTATTTTCTGTCAAATATTTTGAGCCATTTGTTTTCCTCTTTTACTTAAAACTGGCTACCCTTTACTGAGCCCTGGGTCATTTAAAGTGCAGTAGAGGTGTCGGTGACAACATTTTAATTAATTGCTTACCAATGTTGTTTCAAAATAATGAGAATTTACATTTGTACCCGCACTTTCCACAAATGCTGGACTCCACCTGACACAAATTAGCTCTCACATTATAGCTGTCTGGCAGGAACAGCAGGAAGGAGGAAAAAAGAATGGAGAAATAACCAAGGAAGGTTTATTCACATCATGCTTTCTCCTTTCAAGGAGGGGAGGGCAAAATAAGTGGTAATCTTTCCATCGACTAACGGATTATTGTAAAAGTGAAAAGGCACACTTGCCTAATAGCCAAGTGTGGACACACTCAAGTGACAGGCTTGCTTTTCAGACAAGAAAAGTCCTCAGGAAGGGATCGTGGCATGCTGAGCCATTGTTCCCTAATGTCATGTTTCTCCTCAGAGAGAAAGAACACTGTTTCTGAGATTGTTTAGCTAACGAGCACATTGCTCGGAGGGGCTCCAAAAGAACTGCAAACCTTGTTTCAATCCCAGCTGTCAGCATCCTATTGGAAGGAAACCACTTATTTATACATGGGCTGGACCCTGGATATTGTATTTTGTACAATAACCATTCACGTTTACCCATTATTCTACTGGGTTGTTGTCTTAGTGTATTTTGTGTTGCTGTAAAAAGTGTGGATAGCTGCCAATCAATGTGGCTGAATCTTATTATCTACTCACCTCTTCCCACAGTTTACTGTACTATCAGCGTCTTACCATGGGAGGTGGGGCTGTGGAGGCAGGCTAAAATTAAAACAGCAGTCGCAAACAGCCCCTTCAGGGGCCAGACAGGAAAGGGAATGGGCAAGGTGAGTACAGTTGGTTCGCTGGTGCCCAGAAGGGTAGAAGGCAGACAGTTCATCTGCTCAGCCCCAGCCTACCAGGCCATGTGGAAATGCCAGCCCAGGGTTGACACATACTCTGAGGCTTTGCAAGCGGGGGGTGGGGGGGAGGGAGGAAATTTGGATATTTATGAAAATTCTCCAGATTTTTAAACCCTGGCAACTGACTTAAAGAATTTTCAAACCTCCGGCAAACCCAACAATACACATGTGTGGGCCACATGTGGCCTTCAGACTTCTAGTTTGTGAGCTGCAATTTAGAGCTAAGAAAGGAGGATAGTGGAGTATATGGTGTGTTGGGTGAAGACCTGCAGAGGTACCTCGCACACCAGAGCATGGCATGCAGGTGGGAAAGTTCAGGTAGGGAGACACTCTTAGACCAGATCCAAACTAGGGTGAAATTGGACACAGCCCTTTATGTGTGTATGTGTGTGTGTGTGTATATATAGATACATACACACTTCAAACATGTAATATTTTAAATTTTAATACGTTAGATTTTGAGAAAGTCATGACATATTTTTTATGTTTTTCTATGCGAAATTCATCATGACTTTCCCAATGATCTATATTACTCACAAATAGTCCAGAACAACTTTAGGTACACCTGCTTTCTTTGATTGGCTTACATGAGGAGAAATAAAGTAGCTTTTGGATCTGTCATCTGCAGTGGGATTGCCATTAAGATGCAGATTTCATTAAAAGCCCTTATGGGGAAGACAATCGCCCTTAGGGTTGAACCTTCAGATAAAACAGAAAATGTCAAGACCAAGATCAGGGTAAGGAAGGAATTCCTCCTGATCAGCAAAAACAGATCTTTGTTGGCAAGCAGTTGGAAGATGGGCATACTTTATCTGACTACAAAATCCAAAAGGAGTCTATGTTTCAACTCATGTTGAGTGGTGATACTAAGAAAAGAAAGAAGCTTTATACCACTCCCAAGAAGAATAAGTACAGGAGAAAGAAGGTTAAGCTGGACGTTCTTAAATATTATAAGGTAAGTGAAAATGGCAAAATTAGTTGCCTTCATCCGAAGTGCCCTTCAGATGAATGTGGTGCCAGAGATCTATGGTTAGTCATTTTTACAGACATTATTGTGGCAAATGTTGTATGACATACTGCTTCAACAAACCAGAGCACAAGTAATTGCGTGTGAGTTAATAAAAGAAATGAACTAGCCTTCAAAGAAGAAAAGAAAAAAGAATTTATCAAATCTTCTGATGATGGGCAATGTTTCAGTCTGGTATTCAAGAATCTTTGACTTTCATAAAGAAGGAAGAAAACCCTGCACACAGAAAGTCAATCGCCCTAACTTCAATATTTACCAAAAATGTCAACACATGAAAATGGAAGATTAAGCTATATTGACTTTTGCTAATATGTATGTACACCTGTAAAAAAAAAATTATGTCACAAACCATCATCTACATTTCCTTTTTGTCTCTTAATTTCAACTTTGAAATCTCTTATACTATCCCATGTGAAAGTTTTCTCCACTAGAATTGGGTGGAAGTCTGCATCTTTGTGGCTGGCTCTGTGGCATAATGGTTGAGGGAGCCGTAGCCCACATGGCTGACTAAGAGGTTTGAGTCCCCACACCCACAGCTTGAAAAGCATGCCAGGCATGTATACACACATGCCCCAAATCCTGGCAAGATGGAGCAATAGTGCTTTCTCCCTCTCTTTTTCTTGCTCTTTCTCTGCCAAGTGCACATGCCCACTGGTAAATAGAAGAAGGAAGGGAAGAAGGAGAAAAGGAGGAAGAGGTAGAGGGGGAGAAAAGAAGGAGGAGGAGGAGGAGAAGGAAGGAAGAAGGAAGAAGAAAAGAAAGAAAACAAAAAGAGAAAAGAAAAGGAAAAGAAGATCACATCTCTTTCAGTGGTGTGCTGGAAAGTGCAAAGTATATATCCCAGGTAATCTCCTGATATTACTGAAATCAAATACGAATATTTTTAATCCTATTATTGCACTCTAAAAATTTGACATAACTGATTCTGACTGATAGAACTAAAAATGCCTGTCTTTGTAGTCCTTGCAAAGTCATTTGTTTAACTGCAATTAATTAACCAAAAGGAATGTTTTTTCATTTGTATAGCTTTATGAATCCCATGAGTAGAATAATATCTTTAAAACTACAAACTAGGCAAAAAATTATTAATCAGGGAAAAAAATCACTAACTTAAGAAATGTTAATGTTAAAGTAAGAATTTTTGTTCATCAAGAGGCATAATAACAGAGTGAACAGGAATACTGTAACTGGAAGAAGATACTAGAATTTCATGGAAAAATTTCTACAAATCCTTAAGGAAAAGACAACGGCTATAGTTTTCATGTCTGCCGTTGCCAATGTGAGAGTATTGGGAGGTGAAGCCCTTTAAAAAGTGACTAGGCTATCCATCCCTACAAATGGACATAGCGCCTTTCATAAAGGGCTCTGGAGGGTGGTTCTTCACTTGCTCTCGCATACTCTCTTGTACTTCTGCCTTCCTCCATGGGGCGAAAAGACTTTCACAACTCGAAATCTCTCACCAGATGCTTGTCCAGACTCCAGAATTGTGAGAAGCACTGTCTCTATACACACACACACACACACACACACACACACACACACATATATATATATATATGTATAGCCTAGTCTGTGGTATTCTGTTACAGCAATATAAAATGGACTAATGCAACCCAATGGAAGAATGAGTAAAAACTTAAATGGATATTGTACAAAATACGATAATCCAAATGGGAAATAATTGAATGAAAAGGGGCTCAATCTAATTCATCATAAGGAAATGCAAAATATAATTAAAATAAACTATGATTAAACATAAACAGAAATGACTGAAATAACACAGAATGGAAATAGCAGGCATTGGTGAAAGGACAGAGTCATAGGAACTCACATATACCACTGGGAAGGTTGATTGGAAAGATGTTTAGAAGTATATGCATGCCTTAAGATCAACGGATATGTAGCCATATTTTCACCAATGACAGTACTAGACTATTCATAGGAATGGTATTAATAGCCCAAACTGGAAAGTTCCCAGATACCCATCAACAGTGGAATGAATAAACTGTCATATAGTCACACAACAAAGTTCTATACAGCAATGAGAATAATTATAATTATGTGTAAAAGTGTGAAAAACTCTCATAAACCTAATGTTCAATGACACAAGCCAGACTCAAAAGAATAAATATGCCATGATTCCAGTTATAGCAGGTATAAAACTGGCAACACTAATGTCTATATGCTATTAGAAGTGGTTACTCTTGTAAATGAGGGCATAAGTGAGTGCTTCTGAGTGCTAGGACTATCCTCATTTTTGATCTGGGTGTAGCTGACAAGAGGCGATCATTTTGTAAGAGAAGCTATCAAGTTGTGTAATTTTAATTGGAGCACTTTTCTATATGTATGTTAAAATAACATTATTAACAAATAATCAAATTGAACACAACTAACCTGTATTTTGATGAAAACACTTTCAGTCCACGGAGAACACTACATTTTCACAGATAAAATTTGTTTATCTTTATTTCATCTTTTTGTAACTGCATAAGTGTATTCTTTGACATACATTTTCCTACCACAAAAAAGCAACAAGTACCAAACATTTACAAATGACACAATCTTTTCTTGAAGAAGTACAATAACTTCTTCACTAATGTAGTAATAAGTCCAGACGTTGTGATACAGCAGTAATGTAAGTGTCCCGAAAGGCTGGAAGCCACATGGCAACTGTGGGTTCCACTCTCTGGGCTGTCTGAAAACACCTTGGGAGCATGAGCTGATGCTCAGGATTCAAAGAAGATGGAGGAACTAGGATAAAGGGGTCGCAGCAATGCAAGACCTGTCAGGGGTACATCTCTCCCTCTCTCTCTTGTGTGCGTGTATGCACTATTATTAAAATAACAACCAAAAAAGGGACCAGCAGATTGCATAATGGTTACATTGCTGGACTCCCACGTGACTGACCGCAGTTCAAATCCCAGACCCAGTAGCTTAAAACTCATGCCAGACACGTGTGCGTGCATGCCCAAAGAAAGGGAGAGGCCAACAGGACAAAAGATAGAGAACGGATAGTGCTACCAATCAGTAGTCAGCTGGGGCTACAAAGAGCAAAGGACTGTAGGAAGTGCCAGAGGGAGTAAGCTGGAAAGTAGAAGACACCCCAAAGAAAGAATCTTAATGTTTTATTGCTGAAAATCAGAAAAGACCCAAGGACAGAATCCCTCCCACTGACCTACAAATCACAGTGAAAAGATGAAAGAATTTTTGAGAAGGATCAAAAACAACTTCCTTATCTATTTTTCCTGTACTAAAAATGCCCTTTATTTTAAAGGCTATATCTTATTTGTTCAAGTTTCTGGAAAAACAAGAGGCCTTGTTTTTCCCAGGTTAATTTTCAACTGTCCTGTCTTGGAGCTGATTTCCCATCTGATTCACAGTACGCTTCTACTGCAAGTTAACTGTTGTGCGGGTACGTGATCTTCCCCAAGTCACGATTGTGTGTTGTAACCTGGTTCCTAAGCCCCATTTTCAAATCTCTAGTTATTTTCATTCTCTTATTCTCCCCTTCACTAATCTCTCTTAAAGTTAGAATGCAATGATTCAACAGGAATATAATGGAAAAGCCCCACCAACGTCAAGAACAGTGAGAGGATTATCTTGCGGTTCTCGAACATCGTTTTCTTTCTCAGCGTCCTGTCAGTATTGGGTGCAGTGTTTTCAGGAAGTAGACGCCCACCTTCTAATTGAGTCAGTGCCAAGGCTAAAACGTGGTCTCACTGAGCCATCTTGCACCTGGAGATATCTCCTGGGGGAAGATAAGGAAAAATAAACAACAGCCTCAGGGAACTAGGTCTCATTACATTTTTATTAACACAGTAACTCTTTTAAGCAAGCTATATCCCAAATTGGATAATTACCTCCCACATTGCTTTCCCCTTGACTTCGGAACTAAACACCAGGCTGTTTCTCAATTAGCATTCTGAGCTTTGAGTCCAGTTCTGTATGTGCTGTTCCCCAGCAGCCACACAGCAACCCAGATGTTGCATGGAGCCCTTCCTAAATATAGGACTTTAAGCACATTCAGAAGCCTTCAGGAAAAAAATCAATTATGTTAGTGTAAGATTTCACTGACAAGAATCGATATCCGTCACTTAAAAGTTCTCTTTAAAAACCAATTATAAATAAGCCAAATAAGCAAACATTTATTCTGACTGCTAAATTTTAAACTACTGACCTGACCAGGGTAAAACGATCATCAGTTAATAAAATCTGATCCAGTTCATTAAGCAGCATCTTTATATAGCAGCATCTTTATATAGCAGCATCCAGTAATATACTACTACAAAGTAAAAGTAATTTAGGTGTAAAATGGTTAAATATGAAATAAGGTATGTTGGAAAAAAGTCTGCTCATGTTTTGCATTGAAATGTTTTAGTATTTAAATGGAAACCAAAAAAAGTAGAAATATTCTGAAGTAAAAACAGAACTGGAATTTCCATTTCCCATCCACATCATAAATGAGATCATTCCACAGCAATGACTCCTTGCACACTACTTTGAAATGAGTGCTCTCAGACAGAATCTGCAGCCAGGGCCCAGGCACTGAAAACCCATACTGGTTTCTGAAGGATTCATTACACACACACACACACACACACACACACACACACACACTTACAGCTCCACCAGAAGTCATATAACTTATGGCTCAGTCTTTATAAAATTTATGAATAAACAACTGAAGTAGCCTCAAGCAGAAGTGGCAGAAAACATTGCTCCTTTTATACCACTTTGGAAATAAACTCCTTTCACCAAGAAAGCTAACAACAACATATGATGCTTTGACAGCATCAAAAATAATATTTAAGAATTTAGAAATCTTCTGGCATCTGGCCCCAATCCCCAAACAGATTAACATCTGAATCCAGTTCATTAAATCTAAATTCCGAGAGCCCTCTGCTACCCATGGGGATTCTGTCCAAGCACAGAGCTCACATTTGTGCATTTGTATTTGAGCAAGTCTACAACCTGGTGTACCTGTTCTTCATTGACCTTTCACTTACAAGAAATGTGCTTTCAAAGTCTGCTGAAGTACTTTCCTCTTCAGGCTAAAGGGCTACCTTGTGGAAGAGTTAGCAGAGGGGGAGGTGAGTCAGAGTAAGAGTGGGTAAAAGATGTCAAAGAGAACTGAAAGGAGAAGTAAAGTTGAGCTAATTCTTTCAGAATCGAGGATGACCAACGTAGTTTGCACTGTGGTCTGTGCCCTATGGGAGGAAAGTGAGCATGCATAGAAGGGGCCAGCTCTTGTCTGACACCCACCTGCCCAGCTGCACCACGGTCAGTCGGTGGAGCCATTACGGAAGCTTTAGTCTCTGGGCTCCCTGGTAATCATCAGACTGCATTCCACTGCCCTCAGCACAGCTAAAGCTACACATGGCCAGTGGCTCATTCACTGACTCCCAGACTTCTCTGACATTTGAAAGAAGAGGAAGATTGCCAAGATATTTAAACTGCACAGTAATTGTTTTGTTTCCTTCAGATTAATGTAGACATAAGATAATCAGGATAAACTACGGAAATGAGTCGGAGGGGGAAATGAGTCGGAGGGGGATGGAAGAAACGGAAAGAGAGCCCTCCCATCACACATCTTGAGGGAGGGAGCTGAAAGAGAGGGAGAGAGGGGAGGGGAGAGAATGTGGGGAAGGACATGCTAAGAGAAAAATAATGAATTAAATGAAAAGAATGGTAGGTAACTTTGGACATGACTTCTTCAAATTCATAGGTTTCCTTCTAGTATTTCCTGTCAGCTGTCTGGCTATTGACCAGGGAAAAGAAAACTTAATACTGTTCCTTTGGGAATTTGAATTGTAAGTATGAATAATAACAAGGGCCCACAGGCCAGAGAAGGAAATGGTAAAATTCCTAAATGACTCTAGTTGAAAGATCAAGAAGAGTGTAAAAAGTTTTTGTTTTTTGGGTCAGCTCTGTAGCAAAGCAGTTAAATGCTGCTCAGAAGAAGTTAGATCCCACATGGTTGACTAAGGTTCTAGTCCACATTCCAGTAGCTTGGAAAACACACTGCATGTTCATGCATATGCCCGGGATCCTGAGATGGGATGGCGAACTGGAGGAAAAAGGATTGTGGCGTGACCATGCCCCATTGTTAAGTGCTCTCTCTCTCTCCCCTGCCCTCTCTCTTCCTCTCTAGTGCATACGCATATACTCTGTAGCATTAAAAAAAAGAAGTTCATGTTTTTCCACTTTTCTGTGTGATAATGTACAAGATGCAGCTATTTGCCCTTAAGTAATAGTGATAAATTGATCTGAAGCAGTATGAACTGTGGCAGAATTATTATTGCAAATCACTAAAACTGTGAAGGTAGCAGGTAGCACTGAGGTAAAGATTGGTTTTACAACCAACCAGACTACATTTAAATACGAGCTCATCTGTCTATGTCATTCTGGCAAGTGCTTTAAGCTCCATAAGCTTCAGTTCCCCCATCTAGAAAACAGACTAATAATAGGGAGATATGAATATTTCTTTCATAAAGTTGCATGAATTAAGTTAATATATTTAATGTATTGGAATAGTGCCTGGAATATAAAAAAATTAATAAGTGGGGCTGGCAGGTGGCATGGTGGTTGGGGGTGCTGGACTCCCACATGGCCAACCACAGTTCAAGTCCTGGACCTGGTGGCTTGCTTTCTCTCTCTCTCTCTTTCTCTGGTCAAATTAAAAAATTAATTATTTAATTTAATAAGTTAAATAATTTTTTTAAAAAGTAATAGCTAATAATATATGCTAGCTAGTATTATTATATCATTCATCAGTAATAGTTATGTTACTTCCAAGTATAAATAGGAATCTTTTATATTTTAAAAATATTTTCATAAGTTCTATGGAAAATTAATCATCTTGACACGTTTCAGAAAAACAATCATGTATTTTACTTTTCTTTTTACTCCTCAATACCCATCTACAAATTTAATTATATCATGGTTAATAATATATATACTATTTATTATAAATATATTAAATATATATATTACGTTATTTATATTTAGTTATATTTAATAGTAGTACAACTTTCATTTATATTGCCAACCTGTAGTTTCTAGTGGAGTTCATTGGAAAAAAAGAGATGTAAATTGGTTGATCAATGGCAGTAAGCAGATGGTTGTAAAATGAAATAAACTCTAGAGCTGGACCCAAGGCCTAGTGGTTAAGGGAGCAGATCCCACATGGCCGACCATGGTTTGAATCCCGGCCCCTATGGCTGGTAAAATATACCAAGTGTGTGGACATGTGTGCACAAAAACCCAACAAGAGGGAGAAATGGAGGGAAAATATAGCAGTATACTCATATTCCTTTGGATAGGTGCTTTCTCCCTCTCCCTCTCTCTCCTTCCTCTGCCTTTCTGTCTCTTACTTTCTGGCAAGTATATGTGCCCCCTGACAATTAAAAAACAAAAACAAAAATAAAACAAGAACAAAAAGAAAAATAGAATAGCTCTAGATTCTTGCTCTACCATTTAAAAATACGAATAGAAGTTAGTGGGGTCTACGCATCATCTAGCAGACATAGGCAATCATATGAGTGAGGGAATGAATGAATGAATATTAGTTTTCTGAGTCTGTTTCCAGATGATTCTATTGATATTATTTCTTTCCATTTTATTCTTTTACTTTTCTTCTCAAATATTGACTCACATAAGAAAAGCAAAATCCTTTTAGTTAATCACAAGACAAATATTAAGAAAAAGCATATGTTCACTTATTTACTAAAATAACCCTCACTTTTCCCAAATTCCATTACTTTTTCCATGCTATCCAATATACTTGATCTCTCCCTCTTTTTGTTCAAAAACCACATCAATTTGCTCATGGAATTCACTTTAGGTTGAAAGCAAAACTATTTCTCCTCTTACCATAACCATAATCAGTATACCTTCCCCACCCTGGAATACAGAATAAAAATAAATGTGAAAAGACATCATGTAATAATCTTCTATCCATTTGTTTTTTCTCAGGATTCAGTTGCCAAAAGATCTGAGACTAGTTTTGAAATTGTAGATGCCGAATAAATACGATTTAAAAAATCTTGCAGTGAGGACTACAAATCTCTCTGTGACTATCCATATTCCAGGCCACCAATGTCTGGATGGTGCTTACTCCTCCTATTTCCACTTGCTTCTGTTTCTCTGGTTTCTTCCAGACCAGAGTCAAGGCCAAAAAGCTCCTCAGTCTACCCTTTACTCAGCTAAGGGTGTCTACTCCCTTCTTCATCTTGCCTGCTATTAAACAGAGCTTTTTATAGTACCCAGAGTATGTCAGTCTTCTAAGATGAATTGCTTTTTCTGAAGGAAAAAAAAAAAAAAGGAAATTAAATGATTCATGATCCTGACCCTTGAGGCTGGAAAGTAGTGTCTCATTGAGTGAAAAGGCAGGACAAAACTTCAGAGAGACTGCAGTTTATATTTCAGTTCATACCTGTTAACTTTCCAGTAGTTGGTGGAAACTATTGTGAAGGAACAAGAAAGAATTTGGCTATGGTGAATGGAAATAGCAATAAAAAATTATTCTGTATATAAAAAGCTAAGGAAAGCAATTATTACTAGTCCAGCTACTAGTAGCACTCAGTCATTTGTTCATTTATTCATTCAGAATATAATAATCTCTTTGGAAAAAGTGTATTCCAAAAAACTCTTTCTAACAACTCTTTTATCATTTTATTTACATGAAGTAGACTTACTAATTCTGGCACCAAAAAACATAAATGCAATTCCCAAACCAGAGTGTAGAAACGAGGTCAAATTATTTTACCAATTTAAATATCAAAATTCTTAAAGATTAATTAAATTAGGGTAAGAAATAACCAAAAGACTGAGTACAATCAGCCTTCTTCTGGTTTTTACATGTTTTTTTAAAAGTCATACATTATTTCCACTTTTAAAAAGAGCTATTTTTTTATTTTAAGTGTAGCTTAACTTTCTCCATTTTGTAGCTTTAGAATTTCATTCCTTTTACATTTACTGATAAATATGTATTAAATATCTACTTTGGACAATTTTATGATATTAAAAAACAGAATTCCTGAATGCGATGAATTCACATTTAGGAAGACACACTTTAAAAAGGCAGTAAAATATAGTAATAGAGATTTCATAATGTCAGACATGGCTCAAGAAAGGAATAGATACTTCTCTCAGGGAATCTAGTGAGAAAAAAATAAATAGGGTGGTGGCAATGAACCATCTGGAAGGAAAGTGAACCGTATGTATAAAGACACAGACATATGAACTGTCTTAGGAAGCACAAGCCAAATGGTATACAGCGGGCTCATGTGGAAAGAATGTGGACCATGAAGATGCAGAGTTTGCCAGCACTATAGTCACAGAGGGTTTGAACACAGTGCTAGGAAACAGCTCCATGTGTACGTGACCTGTGCAATTGCACAGGGCCTCACATGTAGCACAGCTTTATACGTAGTGTTCTGCTATTACCATCTTGAGATTTTTTCCTTTATTCATGACAGAATGTGTGTGCACACAGAGTAAGAGAGAGAGAGGGAGCACCCTCCACAAGGCCTAGTTACACCTCAACCCTCTTCCTCCAGCCGGCCAGCCTGTCAGGTTTTGAGGCACGTGCATGCACGTCTAGTGTGTTTCAGGCTGACTGGGCCAAGGATTCGAACTGAGGTCATCATGTGTGATCTGACTTCCACTGTGCCTCAGAGCTGGCACCATCTTGAAATTTTAAATTTTTGAACAACAGGCATCCTACAATTTTATTTTGTACTGATCCCCACAAACTATGGCCCCTCTTAGGTATAAGAGTTTGCACAATAAGTATTTCTAGAAAAAAAACTGAAGACAATACCAAAACCTCCTTAGATTATTTGTGGCTATTAATTTAACAAGTCTCAATTACACTATAATGCCAACAATTCTCTAAAAAATAAGAGAAATTAAAAAAAAAGACCTAACCACACTACTAATTGAGGGAAGCAGCTAATTGTGATTCTTGGACTTTATACTGATTCTAGCTCATACTCGAATTTAAAAACATCCTTTAATAAATATCTTTTATAAAAAGTATATTTATATATTTCTCCCATGAACAAGAGAAACAAAGGGAGAGAGAGATACAGCACCACCAGCAGGGTCTTAACTCTGCGACCAGCCCCCAGCTACAGCTAACCCCAGATCTTGGACACACACGTGCTAGGTATATCCAGGGAGCTCTCGACATTTGAGAGACATCCCTGGAACATTTGGGAATACTTTTACCAAAACAGATATTTTAAACAACATACTAAGATCCCTTGGCATTTCCTCTGCTACAATATATGTTTAATTCACAGCCTCCTAACTTAACCCACTTTCTCCTTAGAATCTTTTTTTTTTTTTTTTTTTGAGAGGATTTTGCTATAGGGTGTGT